TCTCTCTCTCTCTCTCTCTCTCTCTCTGTCTGTCTAGTGGGTTGAAAATTAATCTCTCTGGGTTTTTCTTAAGACTTTATGGTACATTGGATTTCTAACAAGTCAGCGACTGGCAATCTTCTTCGAAGATAGATACTTCTCGAAGATCGATACCAACGGTAATTGTAAATTGACAGTGGGTTGTATTTACTCTGTCAATCTCTTGGATCTTCCCAAACATCTCGATAATTGAGTGGTGGTGGGTGATGGTGTAGCAACCAACAGACGTCTCGAGTCTCGGGTACGTATACATATATACAGTGGAGGGAGGAGTAGTTATGGTGTGTGGGTATTTTTCTCTCACAATCGTAATATTTCATTGTCTAAGAGATGTATGTAAGAGTAAGACGAAGAGAAGGTGTAATCTAACGAGTGTACATCGGAGAGAGACATCGGGGAGGAGCTTCATTGGTTGCGTCATTACCCAGAAAGCTTTGTTTCGATCGGGATCCGGTATCGAGTACCGTATCGGTCCAGTTCCTGCACTCACATCCTCCGCGTCCCAATACTCCTCGTCCTCGAACGAGGACGCGGTCCTCGATCCCTTTCTCCTCTCCCGCTCGTTGCACTCCCTCGAGTCGGACTCCGTTAGGATGTCGCGGATTCTCTGATAATCCTCGTCGTCCGCCTCCTCGAAGCTGGATATTTTCAGCAGACGCGCCTCGTCCTTGGGCCTCTCGACCAACGGGGTCGCGTTGCTCATCGAGTAGTCATCATCTCGCGCGTCGTCGGCCTTGTCCCTGGAACCCGATCCGAATCTTCTATTCTTGAAGGTCCTTCTGCCGAAACGATCCCGAGAGCTGAGATCCCTCCTGCTCTCGGACAGTCCCACGGCCGAGGCATCCAGCAGTTCCGCCGAGGCGTCCAACCACGGCAGTTGCTCGAGGTCCTCGAAGTTGGTCTGCACCTGAACCGACACGTTTCTCCGACTCTCCGATCTGGACAACTGGGCGACTGGACTCTGCTCCTCCGGGGGAGGAGAGGTGTTGGTCCATTCGTCTCTCAGGTGGCTGCTCGCCGTTTGAACGGAGATGTCCGACTTTCGCCTCTGTGGATCTCGGTGCTTCTTCGACTTTCTCGCCGTCAGGTTCTCCGCGCTTTTGCTCACCTGCGCGTCCTTCGACTTCAACCTCGTCGGCTTCCTCACGATCGTGCTCGACGACTTGATCTTCTTCCTCTGACTCGTTGTTCCTCTTGCCGACGACTCGCTGCCTTGAGCCTCAACGCCTGGTGCGTCCGTCTCGCGAGATATTTCGGTTTCGGCGTCTCGCAAGTTCTCGGAACTTCTCGAACGATCGACGATTATCTCGGGTTTCGGCGACTCGGGAGACTTGGAGTGGGATTTTGCAGATTTCGGTTTCCTAGGGTGTCTCGCGTGTCGCTCGTTGTCGTCGGACTCGTCTACCGAGGAGCCACCCTCCGACGGAGTCTTGTATCGTCTGATCAACGGGATCGACTCGAAGGACCTCATGGTGGGCGCCTCGTTTCCAGAATCGTTGTCGAACGACGTGCCCACGTCGCTCGAGGCTCCGGAGCTCGACACTTCATCGTCGTCCACGCTGAAGGGGATCGGCGTCGGTACTCTGACGTATCTTTCCGGTTCCGGAGGTGCCATCACGGACAACGGCCGATCTCTCGAGCTACTCTCGACGCGCCAGTTCTCAGCCGCGTCCTCGTAAGACGTCTCTCTCTCGTATCGTATCTCCTTGTAATCGTTACTCGCTTCCGCTCCATCTTCTCGCGAGTCGCTCGCCCGCACCAGATACTCAAAATCCGGGCTGGAAAGTCTGGAATCCGGACTTGCCCTGGTGGGTAAGAGAAAATCCTTGATACTGCACTCGGACAGTGGCCGACTGTAGTCGAAGTTCTTGTCGAAACGACGCAGCTCCGTTCTGATTCGCAAACTGTATTCGTGGAGATTCTCCAATTTGTGCTTGGCGCCTCGCGGCAGATCCACGCCGGTCGAGTGGCTGTAGCTGCAGATGGAGTCGTGAGTGCTCATGTTGTCGTTCGGCTCGTGATACGAGAGACACGGGGTGGCCGGTTGATTGATCCTGATCACGATGCCGTCGGCGACGTGACGGAGACAGGCCAACAACTCGAGCATCCCGACGCAACCGATCAGTATCGACATCA